GTCTTGCACCACCAGCCATTCACATACAGTCAGTTGAGCGCACGCCTTATATTTGCTCCTGCAATTGCACGTGCACTCAAGCAATTTCAAGGAATCCTTCCTGAAGATCAGAGGCTGTGAAGATCACACACAAGGGCTTGTGCATTGCGGACGATGGGACCATTAACTTCGTGACATCTTGCACTGGGGGGCACGGGCAGTTGCTTAACAGTGTTGGATTTCAATATCATGATCAAGACATGATTATGGCCAAAGTCGTTGATGGAACCACAGCTTGCAAACTCTTTATAACCTCTGCCAGATCCCGCATCCGGGTGAATTTATTTTAAAGGCACCTTTTACAACAAAGCACATGTGAATGGTTCACAGTGCAGTTCATCCAGGATTCTACAGTAACAAGACGCGTGTGCACATTGCACACCCGAGATGGATGTCATCACCTGGCAAAGAGAAGATGCCTCCTTGGTTGTGTTCAAAATGGTCTTAAATGCGCAACAAATTTTGTACTTTCAAACCAAATAGTACTTAATCACAAACGAGACCTGAAGTGGTGCTGCACTGTTTGCTCTTCGGTCTTTTTCTTTTGTATGGCATTTTTGGGGATTGCAACATATTACAAATACAGGGTGTTTCCACATGATGGACCTGATTTGAAATCGCTATATCTTTGCAACCACGAACCGCCCATGAATGAAACTCTTACCACTTGAAAGGGCGGGGCATAGCGTTTCAAATGATTACCGCGAGATGCCTCTCCCAGCGCACAAACAGCCCCTAGCCTCAGTCATTCGCAAGATGAAGACCCCGCAACACAAGGCGTTTTGTGTTCTGCAGTTCAGCAAGACTGAATCCGTAATTGCGGTGCAGCGTGCGACTAATCTGGAAGACCTCAAAAACAGAATCACAGCAGCGGTGACTTCAGTGGAAGAAGACACTTTGAGAGGCGTTTGGGACGAATCAACTATCGTATCGATGTTGTCCGTGCAGCAGGTGGAGGGCACATAGAGCATTTAGAAAATGGTTTGTAAAACTTGATTACTCATTAAACCGTTTGTAACTTTTCGTGTAATTGTAACATGTTGCTATCGTTAAATATGCTGCTTTGAAATTGGGTCCATTTTTTTGGAACACCCTGTATATGTCGAGATGTGATATCCATTCGACTGCTTCAGGAGTAGCTGTATGAATTTGTTTCAGATCGCCGTTGCATGATCCGATTTGGCAGTTGTTCACGATATGTTGCACGGTCTGAGATGTTGCACCACAGTCACAAACTGGACTCTCATTAATTTTCCATTGATGGAGAAAGTGTCCATATCTTCCATGGAGTGTCCGGATTCGATTCAAGGAGAACCAGATCTTCCTCGGTAGGCCAGATCCTGGTTGGAGGATTGTGGGGTCTCTGACGATAGATTTCTGCAGCAGGTTGGTGTTTAAATCTTGACTTACAGCTTTCGTGACTGCAAGAATTCATACTCTTTGGGTCTTTCGGTAAAGTCACGTAGATAGAAAAATAAAAAATAAAATCACGACGTTTCGATCGCAACACAAGCAATCGTCTTCAGGTGAAAAAATATAGCAGGTGAACTGCTGACCATCACCACCTAGCCAGTGAACTGGAGCACGTACACCAAGCCCTCAAGATGAATGGATATTCGGATTGCACAATCCGTAAAGCTGTCACCTCAACCGTTGGGAGAGAACCACCTGAGGATCCAATCAAAACCATCACCTTGCCATACATATGTAGTGTTGTAAAGACGAGTAAACCTCTTAGGAGGCACACTCTGTTAATTGTAATTCCATTTTCATACAGTCCTTAACACACAGAGGGGTATCCGGTCCCCTCACCCGATATCCTGAGGTACAGCCTCCGGACTCAGCATAACCTACACACAGGTCTCCTTGATACCTAAGGAGGTACAGCCTCCTAGCTTGGCGGGACTTGCACGTCTACTGCTACCCTAGCCCAGAGTCCTCCGGCTGGGACCTAGGGGAGGCTATCTGACCCACCGCTGGCCCGGTGGGTCCTGACCACTTGATACGCCGCGCCTTAGCCCTCAGAAGGGCTGGAAGGCTGGTCCAGGGTCTTAGCTAGTCTTCAGCCCGGGCTTCAGTCTTCGTGTAGGGAGAGAACTCTCCGAGCTCTCCGCGGTCACACTTCTTATACTCGTTTGTGGCCAGGTATAACCAATCCCACATTCCCACGTGGAACTAGCTGATTGGTTCTCCCCAAACTGTGGCTACGATCCACTTCACCTCGTTTGACCCCACCCGTTATGTACACCGAGGTAACGCTGCACTGCCCCCTTGATGCTTGGTGGCAATGCAGGTTACCGACACAGTGCGTGGTTAACACCTCTACACATAGCAGGGGTCACCAAAAATATTTCCAAAATCATGAGCAAACACAAGATCCAGGTTTGATTCAACATAGTACATAAAATTCGTGAAATGATCCCATCGATGAAGGATGTGATCCCTGACATGCAATACCCCGGTGTCTACAAACAAAGTTGTGCCTGCGGCAGTAGTTACATTGCAGAAACCAAGCGACATGTCTCAGACCGTGTTCGTGAACACAAGGTGGATCTGAAACACGGTAGGACTAATACCTCTGTCGTGGCTGATCATTGTTTTAACGCTGTGGGCACACATGAAATTGATTTCTCCAAGACGAAGGTACTATGCAAACCCACTGGCTATCAACAAATTTTGTTCAAGAAGCCATCCAGATATATAAAGACACAATGTCAACCGAAGAGACTGGTACAAACTGAGCATTGGAAGGACGTTATTAACCAGGTAAAGTCTTAACTGGCTGTGATCCTTACATCCTACCTGCCGATGTTAACAGTTATTTCCGACTCTCTGAGTTACATTACCTTGTTAAATGTCTTTACATTAACAGGCTAAATGTCTCATTAACACAGCCGCCGCTGCGGGAGCCATCTCACATTGACATGCTAATCTCTAATCTCTAGCAATAAAATGGCTTCTTAAGCACCGTAGTCGTGGGGCTACATTAACAGATTGACATGCTAATCTCTAGCAATACAATGGCCGAGGTATATTACTTGTAAATTCCATCTCTAGCCACGCCCACTTACCCTTGGGTTGAACCCATCTCAAACCTATATTAGATAGCCTCTTGCTGCAGTAGCTCTCTCGCTATAGTTCTCCTGCCCCAGCAGTTCGTCTGCTGTATTTTTTCACCTGAAGACGATTGCTTGTGTTGCGATCGAAACGTCGTGATTTTTTTTTTCTATCTACGTGACTTTACCGAAAGACCCAAAGAGGTTGGTGTTTGCCCGGGCTTCCCTCCATTGTGCTTCAGTGATCTTGTCTTGTCTTGTCGTCGTGGAGGTTCTCTGCATATTGCCAGAAAGGTTTTTTGGATTTGAGCGTGGAGATATCCTTGTTTATTAAAAGGGTTGGATTTCTGATGGCCTTACAGTACTCCATCACACACGCGGCATCGCGGCGGAGCTGCGGAGGAGCAATGTTTGCGAGGACCGGAAGCCACGGCAGCGGTGTGCGCTTTAACTTGCCTAAGATGGTCCTCATGGCTGCATTTAGCTCTTCGGTGTAATCTACATATATAAAAGGCAAAGTTGTGAATGTGTCTGTTCAAAATGTTTAGCGTACTTCCCGACATGCAACAAACTGGACATTTGCCATGTGGGTACTTTCCAGAATGTACACCATGCAAAAATATTTTTTAAAATACACTTTTGTTTTTTTTTTGGGGGGGGGAGCTCAATAATGCATTTATTTTTATTGCACGGCAAGTGAGCTGTGACGTCCAATCTGTCACGTGACCCGCGCATGTGGAAGCGCAACGCATTGTAGTGTCGTGGTTAGCGCGCCGCGCTACGAACCCGGCGACCCGAGTTCGATTCCCGCTCACGGACACCACCGGTGATGATTATTTCAGCCTCAAACGAGTAAATGCTATGGTGTGTGAACATCGCCACTGGAGAGACAAAGGCGGCCGGACGTGGTGGATCCAAGCCGGGTAGTACAGCTAGTTGTATTATAATGCCGAATCCTGTGCTCATGTACAGAACTGGATAATGGGAGGAGCTATGGATATTTCAAGGCACATACCTGGTATCACTGGTCATTAATGCTAACGTCATGAATATCACATTACAGTAACTTCAAGTCGTTTGGAACCGCGCCTTACACAAGTTCCCGACCATGAGGTTGGGGGGAGTTCACTCAGCCCATCGTCCGTCCAGGGTCAGTCAAACAATAACCACTTTGTGTAAATGTTAACAGTGGTTATATCCTTTTGAATGACTTACTCCCGCCCTAGGAATGTGGAATTTTCACCTTTGGCTCAGGGCTGGAAACAGGAGATGAGTTCCGCCTCAATGATCGTTTGAGAAGGAAATCGCTTTGACATTTGAGCTTACACTGTTATAAACTATCCATGGTCAACGAGACCCACGAGGCTGAGATACGTTTACAGAAACCTGCCATGATAATGGCGTTGCTCTGCAACTCGTAATGTCTACGGCGTGGAGTAAAATTAAATTGTCAAGTTGTATCACTGCAATCGCAGCTCACGCCACTGCTGGCGGAAGGGTCCCCACTACAGCAAACTCTAGACGGTATTTAGTCTTAAGAGGTGGGCGTACCCACACTTCACCCCACCACAAGCAACCTGTCAATTTACGTGTGTGTGGTGCACCCATTTAACCTAGTGCGCTAAGCATTACACCACGGCAGTAGCAGCAGCAGCAGCGTACTAACTCGACAGTACTACAGTGCGGAGGAACGACTCAGTCGGGTCAGCAACGGGCCTCCATCGCCGCCTCATCGCGCGGTCATCGTTCCCCTTCAGCGATGCGAAAGACCGTGACCTTCAGCGATGCGATATAAAAAAACACACACCAGGTGGGCTACGTGATGCCGGGAAGAATTAACGCAGCGAACGAAAGCGGACTCCGAGGCACGAGTGAACACTCCGATCCAAGGCCGCGGGTACTCACCGCCAGGGAATTCTTGCTTTCCCACAGGAATTGCTCCATCTTCCTCCACACGATGGTTACAGCGTCACTGTAGCCCCCAGCGAAGCGAGACCAACGGCAGCCTCCACAGCACGGAGCCTCTTGAGTAGAGAGCGTGGAGCCAGGCGCGGCCTCGGTCCGCAGGCTCGGGGCAAAAGTCGCTAAGCAAGGGTTGGCGCTGCCTTGGGGCTCCGCGCTGTCCCCTCGGTCCCCCTTACCTTGCACCCGCGCCCCTCTCAAGGGCCTCGGTTCCGCCTCTGAGCGCAGAGATCGCGCCCAAGGGCGAGGGCGCCTATCTCGAGTACAACGCCCTCACGTGAAACCGGATGCCAACGCCGACCCCTCTTCACCCCTGAGCGGGAACTTGCGCCGGCAGCATTATCCGAGCGCAGGCTCCATCGACGCGCATGTAAACTAGGCCGCGTTGCCAAGCCAACGCGTGCCATTCCCATTGGCTGAGGAAGCCACGTGGTCGTGACCTGAAAACAGCTATGGGGAGGCTCGATGATCGTAACCTGGGTAGCTGTGGCTGGTCACGTGACAACAGGTGTTTCATTGGTGACGTCACAGTCAAGTGGGCGGCAGTCTCTGTGCAGAAGTGGTGAAAAAACTAAAATGTGCCTTTAAATAAAGCATTTCACCTGCATAATCCGCATAATCCCTCGAGACATATATCTCGCTCGCAAGGGTGTGCTGGCAGAGCGATGGACTAATCATGCGTCTCAAGGTTTTTTTTAAGAGGGTCCCGCTATGTTTTTGCAGTCGGGGATGATGTTACTTTGTCAACTTAGAACGCAGATAACTTGCTATGTTTCCCAATCAAGTGATTTGTCATTTGCGAGTACTGTTCTTTTTATTTTCACATTTGACCGTGACGCCGGCACACAAATGGCTACTTTTCTTCCAATGACGTCAGGGGATCTTTATTGTTCACTGAAGATGACAGCGTGCAGTATTTTGGGGTTAATTCATCCACATTATTAACCAAGGTTAGGCCAGCCTGTCGGGACCTGCGGTAGCGTGGCGACCACGCAGGGAAATGTCACAGCCCCCATCGACACGCTTCGCGTTTTGCTGATCAATGCTATAAACGAACGCAGGAACCTGGGAGAAACGCGTCGCATTCCCCGAGTTCCTAAGTTCGTGTGGGAGGCAGGCGGGGGTTAGTCACAGCTGCGTCGTAGACGAGTTGTGATTGAGGCTGCGTGGCGTCATTTGGTGAGGGTAGGGCTGGTTGCTGGTTAGCGAGAGAGCCAGGGTTAGGGCTGGTGCCGTGGTGACCAGGTGCTTCCCCTTCACACCACTCCTCCCCGTAGCAGCGCCTCACGGTTCAGTCTCGTCCACGCCGCTCGGGTCCAGGCTGATGTCGCCCCCAGGACCCTCACCGCGCGTGAATGGGCTGCGGCTACCGGCCCCACGGTGCCTCCTGCAATATTAATTATCGCGCTCACACACACAACGATGTGCTGAGACAGCGCCTTCTTTGATCTGAATTCCATTTTAGGCTCAATTATGAGGTCGATTAATTAGGAGTCACTGTAGGCGCTTTTGCAAAGAGAGCAAACCCCCTAAGAGGCACACTCTCATTCAGACGCGTGATTCGGTGATAGCAGTGGTGCGCATCCACAGTTGACAACAAAATCAACACGTCCCGTGTCAATAACACTGTGGCATTAAAAGGTAACGTAGATATAATAGGCAACGTTTTGTAAAATGGAATTTTTCATAATACATAAAAATGTTAACGAGCTGCTTCACAAAGAGCGATCTCCCAGTCAAACGGGCAGCTTAACCGAGTTAAATCTCCTAACTCGCACCCCATCCGCAACTGTGACAGCTGAAGTTACTGCTTGAGAACACATGGCCATACGCAAGATGAGAATATCCAGAATGCATTCTGCGTGACCCGGTGGTGTGCACCACTGCATTGCCCACGACGCAGATATTTACCTGTCCCCCTGGCTGTGATGGTCATTGCATAACTACGTACGGTGTGAGCTGCAGGTTTACCACGCGTGTGCACACGTCGTCACCACGCGTTTTCTTTACACGCGACAATCGACACCCTGGACACATTTGTCAAACAAGACGCTCCGTCTCAAGTGCCTTTCCAGGTGAAATATTTGATGCGGTTCGCGGAGCCTGTTCCGGAAACAGAGGTGTGAGGTTTGCATCGCATCTGTGTAAACACATTGAGAATTGGTCACGGATGCATCACCGCTGCCCATCAGATCAAAGTGAACACCTTAGATCAACACGTGGGCAGGGGCTTGCACATGGCCCACCGTCCCCGGCGATCCGAGGAATTGTCACGATTCAGGCTCAAGATCATGACGCCATCGTGACCAAAGCCGGCGATGCCACAACCGCGGCACCTCCTCTCCGCCATATCCCGCAGCTGCTGCACAGGCGACACGCGGCCATCCGCTCTTTACAATCAAACTGTAAGCGATTGAGGCATAACTCAATCCCTTTATCCCGAGTCCCTGACCCCGAGTTCCTGACGCCGAGGCCAGGAGAGGAGACGGGTGGCAAATGCCGTGGGTGGTCGAGGATGTCTGACCCTACGGGCCGCGGGGTCTCGGCGCCCCCTCGTGGTGGTCGTGCCGGGTCCCCGTGTCCATTCCAGGGGTCGGAGATATTCTCATCCACTCCTCTCGCATCCCATCTCCTCTCGATCCCTTCTCTCGCTCCGCCTACTGACTGTGATCCCAGTCATGTAATTAATAGGCTCGTAATGAGAACAAAATAAGCAAGCAGATAATTTGCCTCGGTCCCATATCTGTCGCTCCACAAGCACTGCTTCCCCCCAATGTTCCGTTTGGAATTGGTAAAAGCTACCATACTGCCTCTACTTGATTACTGTGACATCGTGTATAAATCATCCCAAAGTACTGTACTGAAGAAGCTTGATTCCATCTATCACTCGGCCTTAAGATTTACATTGAACTGCCCATATAGGACTCACCACTGTGATCTCTACATTTGGTCAAACTTAACATCTCTTATTCTTAGCTCTTTCGGTAAAGTCACGTTGAAGGGAAACAATAAAATAATAAAATATTTTATTGTTTCCCTTCAACGTGACTTTACCCTTCAACGTGACTTTACCGAAAGAGCTAAGAATATGAATTACTGCAGTCACGAAAGCTTTAGATCAAAATTTAACATATCTTAATGTTCGACGGCTTGTGCACCAGATCTTATTTATTCACGATGTACTTACAAAAAAATCCGCAGACTACCTGCTGGATCTCCTCTCTGTTTCAAAGAAATAATTTGACCTTAGGTCTTCGTTCATTTACCAGCTTCACATTCCCTATTGCCGTACAAAAACTGGAGGAAGGGCCTTTGCTATTGATGCCCCCAGGGTCTGGAATGCTATTGCCAATCAACTGCAACTTGAATCGCTACCAATGAGATCTTCTCTCAAAACTGCTCTTGAGGAGTTGTACACCCCTAGCTGCCAATGCTATTCATTGGCGTAAAATAAAATGTTTCGCTCCGGGTTACGCTGCAAGGTATTATCTGTATTTTGATTTAGCGTGCTGACCTTAAAGGTGCATTGAAACATTTGATACCCCGACTGATGCTTCTGTTGTTGTGGACTAACTCATGCAGCCAGCTATGGCTCTAGGATTTGGTGTTACATGTTATTTATGTAGTTTTTTGTAAAAATTCGGTCACAGTCCCTATGATCACTGTTACGTTGCAATTATGGCTTTACTTTTTGGTGATTTCGAAAAGTTTTTTGGTTTGGACATGTTTGTTTTGTTGTAGTACGGAGTTAGACTGATGGCCTTAATCTAAGTTTTCTTGTGGTTGTTGTTTGACTTGCATCCCACTGGGATTTTTTGCACAAAGCGTTGGTGTACGGTGTTTTTTTCAGGGATATTTTGCTGGTTTTTTTCATGGATTTTCTGTTTGCACAGTCACAGTCACTTTAAGATGTTTTCTTGTTCGTGTTTTTTGTTTGTTGTGGTTGCACCCAATTCAAGAGCCGAATGGCTCACAGGGCTATACCAAAATAAATCAACTGAAAACTGAAACTAAACTGAAACTGAAACAAATTAAGTACTCTATATTCGTTGGATCTTTCGGTAAAGCCACGTAGATAGAAAAATAATAACAATAAAAACAAATATCACGACGTGTCAATCGCAACACAAGCAATCGTCATCAGGTAAAAAGATATATATTTTTGCCTCAGTCGCTATCTCGCTATATTTTTTCACCTGATGACGATTGCTTGTGTTGCGATCAAAACGTCGTGATATTTTATTATTTTTAATTATTTTTCTATCTACGTGGCTTTACCGAAAGGCACAAAGAATATTAATTCCTGAAGTCACGAAAGTTTTAAGTCAAAAGTACTGGATCTTTTATACATCCAGTCGGCCCCACAACCGTCTGGCAGTGTTTAATTTAAGCTGCATTAGTTAAACACAAGCAACCTCTGGACCACATTCGACATTCTAAAAGCTAAACTATTTTTTTTATTTTAAAAGATAAGGCCCACTGAGCTGTATACCTCTTTTTCAGAATCGACCTGGCCACAAATGACAGCTCAACGAAGTGACTTATTACGTGGAAATTTATAGCAGCCAAATACTCCAAACGCATGTTTCTAAATATGTAGGGAAAAACCGGAGCACCCGGAGAAAAATCCATGCTATCACGGGGAGAACATACAAACTCCAAATACACAGGCGTCAGGGTCGGGGTCGAAATCACGATCTCCTGTATACTAGGCGAGGTAGTTAACATTTGCCACTGGGACACCCCAACAGGGTCGCCAATGCGATGGGAGCTGTGAATCCCAGACTCTGAATCTGCTCCGTTGGATTCCGCGCTCCGTGTTTAGTTTGAACATCATTAATCACACGAGTCCCGACTTGGGGGTGCGGTCCCAGGGGTCCGAGTCCAGGCATTTCGAAGCCCACCCCCCAACCGTCGAAAGGAATACGAGCCCTTTTCTCCGTGAGCAGCGCCGCATATCCCACGGCCTCAAGGAGATTGAATCAGCGTGGGGACCCTGCAACACCGCAGTGGCGGTGTCTGTGGAGGCTGCTGGGGGGCAGACCGGACCTCGAGCCCCGGGGGTCCCCCCGTCGCCCCCAAAATCTTCCCGCGGGGACCGAGTGCTTTCATTTCCATCCCCTCCACGCCGTGTAATTTATGCAAAAATAATTGAGATATCTTATATAATTGATGTGCTGTAAAATTAATGAGTAATTTATGTAATTAGTCAATTAAGTGTAATTCCAGCTTATGTTCCAAATGCCCAGAAGGGCATTCCGTACACGCGCTTATTTGTCTGGGGTTCTGATTTCCCGAAAGCCACCTAATTCATTTTACATGCATATTAATTCCAGTGCAGATTAGCAGCTCCCATTGTGCTCGCAGGTTAATATTTATCTTGAAACCTTTGGGGGGGGGGGGGGGGCGCTCCTCCCCCAC